GCATGCTTATTTAAAAATCACATTACTATTCCCGAGCCACTTCGAAACTAATTACCGACTAATAAATACTGACAATTTTTCCTTCAACAGATGCAACGAGAAAACTGATCTACTGACTGAGTTGGAGGCAATATTAAGTAGATATCCTCTAAAACAGAATGCCTTACGATTTGCGACCTACTTAATATTGTGAATCCGATATGAAAATCATCAAATAACTGATCAACTCAGCAGCATAACTCAATATCCTCTGTACAGGAAATTCCCTGATCACCAATTATATAATATATATTTTTAGTTATTATTTCTGAGATTAAAAAATTAATTTTAGGCATACGAGCCATCGATTATTATCGATGCACAGAACAGGTGTAATTTTTTTTGGTTCGGTTCGAAACCAACTTACTAGTCGTGATAGACAGGAACGAGCGCTGTCACTGCTCGTAATCTAGCAAATGGGCCACCTAAGTCAGTGAAACGAGCGACGTGGACACGTATGGCGCGTTGTTTTATAGCTACTGGGGATAAAAGAGTTGTAAAAAGAGCATCCGATCCCGTTCTCTCCGTGATACGCTGAGCCGCAACCAGTTATCGTGGCAAAACGAATCGTCGCTACGTTAAGAGGATAGAAAAAAAAAAGAATTTCGTCATGCCCGGCGTCGGAAGTCTCATTCGATTATGATCGGTATGAAGCGTGCGTCGCGCACAGTGAATCACGGCATGTTTAGTTTTTCGCAGAGCAGAGACGCTGGCCACGTATGCTGACCACGTATTTCCATGGAATCGCGAAAGCAAAAACGAATCTCATCATTAAAAGCGCGATCTCCGATCGTGAATGCCGACTATAAACAACTGTAGCTATTTCCACGGCTATTCCATAATATTTTCTGCGGATTCTTAACGAATGATTGCACGTACGCGTGGTATTCTTGTTACGGTTTCTTCCACATTTTTTTCGTAGTCCTCCATTAATTATTATTGATGAGCTTTTTTGCAATCGTAAATGAAATCATGTGTAATAGAATTATTTGGTATTATCACGATACTATAACTCGCCGGTAGCAGTAGTTGTGTTTCATTATTTCATAAACTGGGTCACGCATGAATTGTAAAACGCGTGTACGACAGAGCCGATGGAAACCTTCTGGTGTGAACGTGTTAAACAGTCTGAGCGAGTATATTGACGGGAAAAGCAGTTGCACTGAGTCCTCACAAAAACCTATTTAAGAGTGCGATAACGCACGGCGAAGCATGGGACGAAACTCGAACGATCCTGTAAACGAGATGATTGCATCCGGTGGGATCCACAGAAGCTGCAGTGCCCGATGTAACGTCGAAGAGGCGCAAACATTTCCAAAGAAATAGGAACACGTGTTGACCACGTGGTCTCTCGTATGTAAGGACAGCTTTATTTTATCGTGAGCCGTTAGAAAACTTGAAGTATCTTCCAGCCAATAACTACAAAACTCGTATTCACTTTCATGTACAGTGAAGTCCATAAATATGAGTATACATTTGAAAATTGAACAACTTTTTTAATATTGAATTTTACGAATTTATTTTTGTTTCAGGTGTCCTTGCATCTTCTTTCTGATAAAAATTGATCGAAACAGAACGAAAAACGCTTTTTAATGCGATCAAACACGTGATTCTCGTTTGCCCGACAAATATTTCAGCCCCCCAACCATCAGTAACTAACTGATACGATTTCTAGAATTGTAGAAAATCGGGGAAAATCGAAGTCGCAATCTTATCATGCTCGACAGACTGGCTTGATGATTTCCTTGATTCAAGTACAAACATGAATATCTGTGACTCGGCAGTCTAAAAACACATGCGCATTACATTTATTTGGTGATGATAAGCGGCTGGCCCTCCATTCACAAGTTGGTAGACTGTCGATCATACCGGAAATATCACGCAACCACGATTTATGGCCCTGGAAATACTTCACCGGTGCCTCGCACGTGTTTCTCATATTAATTTAATCAATAGCAGCAAAGGCTACTTCAATGATTCGATTTCCATATCATAATTATAACTGCTTTGTTATCATAAAATAGTTACGACAAAAAGGCGAATATTTCTTGTTAAACAGTAAAAGTGTAGAACATTTTTAAAATTAAGATGGAGAACTTCTACTTCTATTCTACTTCTATATCTACACACTATTTATACGATTTTATCAGTACAACCGTATCTACTTTATTGCCTCTCGTGATCATACAATAAAGATAAATCCTTCATCTCTTGTCTTATTTACCATAACAGCGCGCTATTTCTTTTGAAACTCGCTCAAGAGTTTTCGTTGTATGAAATTCGCCTAATTTTATCAACGTCCCTCATTTCGTCGTTTCGCCGCCTAGCTTTCATGCTTCTATTTCAATTTCGAGACGGAGCGACGCGACGCGTCGCGCGTCGTGCCCTAACCGAGAACACAATGGATCGCGAGTACCATGACGAAACCACAAACGCGGTCTATCGTTGATTAAAAGCAAGGCACGTTCGTGCGGAGCAGAATTTGCTCATCGCATGTGTTTCATGTGTGTCGCAGAAAATAGCTCGGTCTCCTGGCTAGAATCGAGGACCAAGCCACCGCGCCGCAGCACCACTGTCGCCGCGCGGTCGACTTTGCAGTTTCGCAATCATATTCGCGGTCGACACGACGGCGATTCGCTCTCCTATGCGATAATGCGAAGAATACAACCGTCGGAATAAGGACGGTCGTACGTTGCAACAAGACTGGAATTGTTGTCGAGACCGTTTTGTCGATCCTGTATCTGGCTTGTTTGAAATGTTTGATAGATCGCGATAAATACCGATAAACGACGGAGAGGGAGGTCAGTCGACTTCACTAAACGAGCGACCATTCAACAGTACAAAACTGTGTTCCATACCGAAATAATAATGAAATAATCGTTTCGTATATGTCGTTTCCATCGTTCCAAGATTTTGATTGCATAATAAATCTTACGTATTTCATAGGAAGATCGACATTTCAGACAATTAATAATACTAAAATCCGTCAAACTGACGGGTTTTTAATGGAAAAATTCATATATTAAAATAAGTCCGTAATTATAGTATTAATACTTGGTACATACAATTTCTTTGATATACTAAACGGGTATACTACCTCTCTTGATATATGGAAGCTGTTGAAATAAGAAGAAAAGTAACTCGACTATTAACCGTAAAAACGAAACTGTAAAATTAATTGGACGATCAAGGAAATTATAATCATTCGGGACACGAATGCAAATTTCTCGGAATATGTATGTACCTACACACATGGTAGGGGAACGGGAAATATCGACGCGCAATACGGAGGATCACGTTTAACGCGTGCAGATTTAATCGGTAAAGAATTCCAAGAGGATGATGATCCTCGATGATGTCACTGCGACATTGAGAGGAATCGTAATCAGGATTTCGCCTCCAAGAATCGCGCATACCCGCCGAACGAGTCGTCCTCGCCGTCGTTGGTAGATACCGATCGGCAGTTCGATAAATCGACCGATTACGAACCACCACTACCGTTTGTCGTTCCTGCACACTATGCAGCGCCCAACCGGCAACTCTCTACGACTTGTTTTCAACGAAATTAATGGTTATATCATCGCAAACAATACAATTTTCCTTTTACTCTTTATCAAGACGAATATTACATTTTCATCTTACTTTAATTAGAGCAAAATGTACATTGACTCTTCTGGCCCACGTGTAACCACATTTTTTTTATAATCTGTAATTCTTTATGTTGGAGTATTTTTATATTTCAATAAAATAAATTACTTTCTTCCGGTGTAACGAATGTTACGTAACTCAGAAACAGAAGGAAGCAGTGTGTAATTAAGCTGTTAAAGCCAGTAAGGATTACACGATGGAAAACAAATTAGAATTCGCTATTGTTCGAATAATAATGAGAGGTGTTATTCAATCGAGCTGGTTCTTCATAATGCAGCAATTACGCGACGAACTCCGCATTTCCCATTCCGCGTTATGATGCAAACCACTCCGACGTAAAATTAAATTTAAATCCAATTCGAAATTTAAAGGGAAAATTTTCAAAGAGCAAAAGAAAAATGTGCATATCAGGTTTGCTTGAGGATGATTCACAAAATGAATTGCAAGGAAATTCCGCTTGTTTACGTAATCAGTTATCGGAACTGGAGTACAGTCAGTACTAGGACAATCATAGATGTTCGATAATTCTCGTTGTCGATGATGGATAATCATCGAGGAAATACAGATACTTCAAACGATTTTGGACCAGCTTCAATTGCACGTGGCGCCACAGCTGGTCCAAAATCGTTTGAGGTATCTGTAAATAGTGTTAACAGCTATTTGACAACGCATTATTCATAGTTGTTAATAAATACCTTGCGTTACCCACAATTTATAACACCGATTTTATCGCGATAGTAACAACGCCAATGTCAGATGATAACGGAACCGGCGATATGATACAATCATCGTTCTCTTAGATAACGATCTAACGTACAGCCTTAAACGTCAAAGAGTAAAAAATTGAATGCTGAAAATGCAGTGTACTGCACTGAACGTCTTCTTCAAAATGATTCAAATAAATCGTTTCACAATCTACGTTAGGTCCGGGTTAGGTCAACACGATTATCGTTGTCAGTTTCGACGCCCGCCAGATCCGCGTTTGACAGCTCGGAGCATGAAACATACAGGCCTCTCAAACCGTGTGATAAAACCGTCCCACGGTAAACAAAATTTACATTTCCCCCTAATGAACATCAAAACAAATGATGCCTCTCAGTTACTTAAATTCTGGGTCCTATCTGCCATTTCTAACGACTCGAACAATTTTAAAACCATGCAATATTACACGAATCGTACATTAATTGCCGTTGACAATTAACCTCAGTTACAACTAGGAACATCAATGACTATAAGTAATAAGAGCTATCCATCATGTCAAACGGCATAAAGTTGAAATGTAACGAGAAATATTGAAAAAACATATTCTTTACCTGAAATTTCCGTGCAGCCAGCTCCGCCGTTGAAATGCACGGCGTTGTCAACAAGACGGCATGGATCCACGTGTTCGGTTGCAAGGTTAAATCCACTTGCACAAACGCGGTATGGGACACGTTACAATGTAGCCACTCGCCGTGTGTTCCACGACCACGAAAGAAAAAGATTACCACCAATAATCACGATCTTATGCACTTAAGAAAAAAGGAGGGAACTCTGTCGATTCATTGAATGAGCGATACGATTCACGCGAACATCAACCCACGATTGCACGTGGCGTTTGTTATAGCTTCGATACGTACTCGCGACACCGGTTCGTTTCGGTGTTTCGGTCCTAACACGCGGTCGACCCTTTCTCGCGAAATACGCGCGCGCTTCGCTGAAAACAGGGTTCGATTCAATGGTTATTGTTATCACAGCACCGAACGTTAATAACTTCGCACGACAATGCATGTATTCATTCCATAGACAATTCCCGTTGACTGTCCAAGTAAACGATCCTTGAAACACGTTCGTAAATAAGTGTGTTTTACTTGAAAATCGAATCTACACGTTGCACCGACACGGAGACGCGCGTACCACGAAAAACCTACTATGAGAGAACCGTCTGGCACGACCGCCGCGGCGACACTGAGAAACGACGACGACGTTCGGCACTGCTTGCTGCCAGTTGCTGCTCCACTCGGCACGCTACTACTACGCGGCAGGCGGCAAGCCGACCATACGAACACTCTATCCTTCTTTCTTTCTCCTCCGTGCTTTCTTTCACTCTCCTATACCGTTCCTCTTCTACGCGCGTTTACTGCGTCTTTTTTCTACTCCGTTCCTCTTCTTCCCTGGCTTTGCTCCTTCCGTCCGCGTTCCTCTTTTTCCCTGCGCTTTTCTTAAACTTCTCATTTGCTACATTCCATCACTTTCCTCTGAAATTCTTCTTTCCATAATCATTTGCCCGATAATGATTCTCATTTATGCTTTCTTCTGCTAGATTCGTGTTTTCTGTAGATTCTTTTCTCTCTGCACTTTTTCTCCTTTTTATAAAACTATTTGATTCGGTTTATCCTTATCCGCATCTTTTCAGTTGTTCAATTTTTTTTTACTATCTTTCTCCCACGCCCCGTTATCTCCGTTCTTACCCGCTTGGCTTGTCCCTGTTCTCAGTTCTTTTTCCTCTGTTACATGTCGCAACCTTCCTTTCTCGCACGCTACCTGAACGAGATGAGGAACTGCCAAAGCAGTGAACAACCGTGCAACTCACAATCAGACGGAACGATACCAATGTAATGCATGCGTATGTTACGTACGTACGTACGTTTCTCCATTGCACTCTGGCGTCTGCTGCTATTTCGTCGTTGAACGCATAAACACGCGTATAAGTTACTGTCCTGTTAGTGCGCTCTGCACCCGGGCGTAGGTGTCCGCTGATGGAGAGGGCGCCGTTTCTTCGACACATGTCAAAATGCTTCCACCAAGCCACATTTTCTTTAGTAGCGTCTTGAGATTGTTTACGGGATTAGTATGAACGGTAAAACATCGTCCATTTAAAATTTCAACTAACACTCAGGGGAAAATAAATCTGTTCCGATAAGTGGCTTGGAAAACAATCGAAAGGACAAAGCAGGAAGAAGCGACTGTGAATGATGCGTGTTACGGAATGTAAACTGTTATGATACTGTTTCCGTATTGTTCGTTTCGGTAACTCATGTTCCGTTTTTTTTTTCGGGTAATTGATGGTTCAAGTGGTACTATTAAAATTGAACCTTTATAAAGTTATCTCCAGTATCAATGACATCCCGAAATATATGTAAATAGGTATATGTATATTCTTCAATAGCACTTAGTCATAAGACTCATAAGGCACAGCCATTGCATGCAGACTAGTTTGTGCTATTTTCTATACAAACGAGGTGAGTTGGACATTTGGTCGAATACTTTCATTCAAAAACAATTTATCCCGTTAATCTTGCATACGATATTCTTGTCATCGGCCAAAGAACTCGAGATTTACGTAAGCAAAGATTTTAATTAAGTGTTTAAAGCAACGAAGTCAACTCGCCTTCGCGTAAAATGAAGTAAACCACGTAGCCTGCGTTCACAGTTCAATAAACAGCCAAGCCGCAATTAAAATAGTACTCTTCGCATTATCGAGATAAGCCGAAATACCTTAAAGGCGGTCAGAGTTTCCCGACGTCGAGCGTCGCATAACCTCGGAAAATTTATCGTAACGCGGTCCGATCGGCGGAATGCGAGGATATATGTATGTTGGTGGCACCGTTGCTATAGAATGTTTCGTCCTCGAATCGTACAAGCCTCTGTCCTTGGAACCGGGAATCCTGAGACATTAATTTCGTCGTGGATGTATCATACGAGGTAACACTCGTCTTCTCCATTCTCAACTGTTTCTCTACGGACGTTGCGCACTATCTTGCGCTTACACACACATATTTTCCCTATCTCGAATGAATAGACCACTGCGCGATGTGTCGCCCCACAGTCCTACCACTCCAATATGGGTTCCCGCCTTGCACGATGTTTCGTAGGCGAAACACGAAGTTATAGGGCTCGAATACTTCAGCTTCGAACCTGTGTATGTCAATACTCATAACCACTCATACGCGTTAATCCGAGCAATTTTTACTTAAGAGGCTAAGATAGTTACGTGACTTTTCTAACATTTATTGTCAAATTTTTCATATTTTTTTATTGATAACCGTAGCGAAATATGAGTTTACAGAAATGCACTTATCTTGCAAATTAATTTTGTTTTGATGCTTCTTTAATAGCTTTCATTAGGACTGTCTATGCTCGGTACTTCAGGACTTTTTCAAAAAAATCTAATACTTATAAGGACGAAATGTGAATTCTCGTAAACTCTTATTTTTAATCAATTTTCTAAGTAACATTGACGTTTTGTCTTATCGCGTCTCTATCAGTGTCTATCCTCTTGAAGATACGGGTTCTTCGCGGGTGGTCCGAGTGCCGCTTAGTTATGAAAACTACGCGAGATTTAAGTCCATTTTAAGAACCCTGGAGGAGGTCAACGCGCACTAATCGCAAGAGAAACCCGAAGAAAGGGGAAATAAGGGATACCCGAACTCAACGAAATGCAACGGACGAGGACGCGACCGAGCTGTATAGTAGTTGGGCGTGAGTCAAAGTGATGGGCACGCCTACGCAATGTACGTGTTAGTAGACAGATATGGTTATAATAAAAAGATAGCGTTCATGCCGAGTGTATACTCATGGGAAAGTTGAGATGCGTAATATTCGCGAGGCGATTCCGTCGACGTGAATCTCTTCGTGGAATTTCGTTTTACTTTATTTTAAAAGACACAACATTCGTCCGAAACGCATTTCTCGCTGAAACAGCTCGTTTCTCCGTCCTGGTAAATTTTTTTATTAGTTGCTTTTAATGTGCCTAGTTGTAACAGATTTACATAGACATGGTTAAGAAAAATAATAATTAATTTAACATAATGATTAGAATTAAAAATCAATTATAAATTATTAATCAATCTTTAATTAAATATCAATTATCTCTCTATAATAAACTGATACAGCACAATTTGAGCTTTTGCCTGTTTATATGTTTGTAACTTATGCTAATTCGTGCAAATGATGTCGAGTTCATTTCAAAGAATCTCGTTAACCATTCTAGAAATATCACTCTCGGCTTAAATTAAAATGTATTTTAGTTTCACATGGCCGTTGGTGAACCGTTCTGTAAAAGGAGCGCGGCGTTAAAATTTATTGCGTCTCGTCGCGCGAAAAGGCGAGAGAAACCATTGATTGGCACCATTCTGAAATAGATGAAGTAATAACGGGGCAATTTCGTCAGCATGCAACGAGATTGCACAATGCGAAACGAACAAACGGAATAGCACAAAAGAACTCGGACAAACGAATATATCCTCCCAGCACGTGAATCCTCTTCATTGCAGACAGCTGGTACAACCGAAAAGCGAGTGATAGTACATGTGAAAATAAGTCGAAAAAAAAGGAATAAAATTTTTTATTTGACGCTTCGTTTTCGAGAAAATCGAGTTTGAAAATTGCATCAAATGCGCGTGCAGTATAGCTTTATTATACTATGTTCTATAGCATTTTTTTCAGCCGTATGAACCGCCGTCGCAGACAGAGATCGCGTGACGAACCGAAAGTAAACGAGTGTGTGCCGGTTTCTTTTGCTTTGCGGGAACCCAGCCGCATAGTTTAATTTTAATTCGCCGAGGGTGATATCATGGGCGCCCGCATGCCTTTCCGTTAATCTCAATTACGAGGCAATTAAAAGCAGTTAACGAAAGTGGGGTCGTGAACCGGTGGATGTGTCCACCTTTGGTAACCGGTCTCCCTTTCTTCTCTCTCCTCTTTTATTTCTTGTCGTACGCGACCGATTGATGACACACTGCCGCCCGTGTCACCGACACGATTTATTGAGTATTTAACTATTTTATTATTGTCCACTGCACCGCCTGCTTGGTACAATACGAATCACCATAGATCGTGGGAATCGCCGTCGGCATGACCCTTTAAAATCGTCTTTTTTATGTATTACCCGTGGAAAACGACGAGGGAAAGGATAAATTATAATGTCATGAGATATTTTAATCATTCAAAATTCGTTTGGTTTATCGCTACGGTAACGAACACGCAGTAAATGCTTCGTCGAGAGGCCAAGATCCGACAACTTTTGTAGGCGAGTGAACAATCGAAAATAAAATAACAATGAGCGTATCCCAGCTCAGCTAATGACAAATATCACGAGCGGCGGGGAAGCATTGGCTGTTTCGCGATTATGGAAACTATTGGACGAGAATGCGGGCGTTAAATCAGTAACTGACGCGAACTTAACTCATTCCTTCCTATCTCCTTGGCACTCTTTCAGCGGTCGCGAGATTTAGCGAACAATGGAAACCAGCAACCGGAGGAGCGAAGTGTAAAGATAATGCAACGAAGGACAGAGTTGTACACGGTCATCCCTCGAGGAAGCTCGCAAAGTTTAATGCCAATTCCCCCTTCGCTGACTGTTATTAATCATTGTTTATTTCTGCGTTTAATGCCCTGAGATATGGTGAAATACTCGATTAACTCGATGAAGCGACGGGAGTTTGACGTCAAAAGAAATAGAATATTCCAGACCGTTTTCATTTCAATATCTCTCTCCCGCACATTATCTTTAGCTTCATTTTTAATTCCTTGGAACGTAAATTACACAGACTTTTTTCAGACCTTTTTTTTTGTTTTAAACATTTTTTATAAAAACTATTAATTTAGAAGAAATCGAACTGGTTCCAATTATGTGTTCCACTCTGTATATCTGTTTTCATTCTAAACGTTTGCAATGCTCAAGGGTATCAGAATTTCATTTTTGTACAAGCTCGTTTTAGGAGCTCACCATGGATGAAATAGAAAAATGGGATCAAAGTTCCTTATCATTCCATCTTGATTTTTATCGCGGCCACTAATTTCTAATGGGGCAAGGAGAGCAAACGCGGTTCGTTGGTTAGCCGGGACTATCGTTTGTCGCGTTTCCGACACTGAACCCAAACTGAACAAGCCCCGCAAAAGGACACGTTAAAAGGGTCCATAGATTCAAAGTCACTCCGGGAGGTTCTTTCTCCTTTTACCGGAAGATCGTATCTCCGTAAGCTCCTTCTGCCTACTATCTGGTTTGCACCAT